CTTCTTGTGTTACCATAGCAACTATAGTATTACCACAACAAAGTAATTACAGTACTTAATGACAATATGTGTGTTCAGGGGCCCTGTGGAACAGCTTCTTTTCAAAATGAAGATGATGGCAGGGAAAATGTCCTCCACAATCTCATCAACAATGTGGAAGACAACAGACACTAGTTCACTTTATTTTAGATGCCATAAAAAAATGTGATTGATAATGAGATTTATTTGAAAAGTGAATAGTACAGTAGGCTATAATACCTTATCAAGTTTTTCTATTAGTTACATTTCTGCTTGCGTTAGTTTTTATTTTTGTCTAAATGCTTTTTTTATTTGAAATATCTCATCATATAATATACAGCCAACAATGTTATGGTTTATTAGATTAAAAATTATAAGTCTATTTTAGTATTTTGGTTATTGTTAAAAAAATAGTGTACTAATATAATTCATATCAAAAAGCTTGAAAGGAAGAGGGAACACAAGACACAAATTGTAAGTTTGCATATAATCTCACTGAGAGAGCAGTGTACTGAGAGCACGCAAGAAAACTTGTGCGTGAGCAGTGCTTATTTGAGATATTGTGAGAATTTGTGCGCGAGCAGCGTATGTGAGAGCTCGCAAGCAGTTTTGTCCACAAACAGGAAATCGGTGCACAAACATTATACTAAGAAAACTGTTTATCATGCTCACTTTGTGCTGGACGGTTTTGTGTTGTAAACCACATGAATGTAAAGTAAATACAATAATGGCAACAATAAGAAAAGAAACAAAATCTGCATTTTGTCATGGCATTGGAGTTTACATATCGGCCTGTTGTGTTTAATATGAATATAGAAAGCCATTCACAGATATTGCCAGATAATCACTTTACCTCTACCATACTTTTAACAGATCATTTTTAATTCTGGCTGTCATCCTTTCTTGGATTGTCTTGAGCCATCACATTGCCAATTATATACTATATTGTTAGTAGCCTGGAGAGGTCACAGTCATTCTGCTACATCACATCACTTTCTACTGAATGTAAAATGCTCATTATAGAACATTATAGAGTTTTATAATGTTAAGTTCTAATTCTGTAGTAATTTTGGTGAAAGTAACTAAAAAGTAATATAAGAGTAATGTAACATATTACAATTCTGAGACAGTAATATTGTAAGGTAAGGGATTACATTTAAATAACAGTAATAAGTAATCTGTAATGTATTACAGTTTGGAAGTAACTTGCACAACACTGGTCCCCAACACCAGAACCACCATCATTAGAAATCTCCAGTTTTGGGTACTCCAGAATCTTAAGCTTTCTTCTTCTCAAAGCTCTAGTGCTAAGTCTGCTTGTTCCTTGCATTAAGACCTGCATGAAGATCCAGCTTCTTCCAACCACTGCATAAACGTAAACATACCACTTTCCAAACCTCTATCAAAGACCTTGGTATTGTGTGTTTCAGTAAAAAAAGATCTAATTAATTAGATGTTTATTGATATTAATTGTTAACAAAAAACTTCCTTAGTTGTTTGTTATTTTAGAATAAAGTTCACCTTATCAGGCTCTAGCTTGAAGTTATTAATCACAATCCTCAACTTAATCACCTTCATGATTCATGCCTATGCAGTCCATTTATTGTACATCTAGTAATTTTAGTAACCCTCGTTTATTCTTTTGTTAATAAATATGCATTTATTAAAATTGTGTCTTCCTTAATCTCTCACACTACATCTTTGTTGTTTATGATGCATTTGGTACATACACTCTGCTTTTATGAAATGTTAAATTTGCTTCAGGACTATAACTATGCCACAAGAAAAAATGTGTATACCAGCTCAGACCTTGATGTGGTGGTAAGTACCCCTTTTCCATATTTTTTTTTTTTATAAATATTAATGTTGTCATAAATTTAAGCATGCACACACAATCAAATCTGAGTGTACACACTTTATAAACAAGGCCTATTCAGCTAACCTAAACCTAAGAAAATTATTTCCTCAGCAACTTTTTTTTTTTTTTTTTACCCTAAAACTTAGAAGTTTCGGTAACACTTTATAATAACTACACACTATAAATAATTTATTAAGCATTAACAAATAGTGAACTCATTATCTGTTAAGCATTAACTCTACATTAATAAGTGTTAGCAAGCAGTTTATAACTGCAGCTACAAATGCTCCATTCTTGACTTATAAGCACCCATATAATGTGTTTAATGATTGTATTTTCATACTTAGTTAATGATTTATTTTTCATTACTAAATTAAGTATCGAATTATTTACAAACTGTTTGTATTTAAGAGTAGTTAAGGGTTTTAAGGATCATTCAGAATAAGTTAGTAAATGATTAATAAACTATTGAAATCAACATTTATATGTCTTATTAATCAGGCATATATTAATGGTTACTATATATTTTAATACATGCTTTATTAACTCAACTTCATGCAGTGTTGTGACCAAATCTAAAGTGAGGACTATTCATGCTTTATAAACCCATTATAAATGACAAATAAAGGCTCAGTTAAATTCTAAACAGGAAAAAAATACATTATTCTTTTCTCTTTATTTAAAGATACACAAATGAAACTGTACTTCAAATGAAAAATAGATATTTGCAACCTTATCTAAAATAGAATCACTGTAGAGTTTAAACATTACATCTTATTATAATGTTAAAGTATTATATTGTTGTTGTTTTATCCAGTTGGATGTCATATTTTGACTCTCCTGTTATTTTGCAATGTTTAAACTTTACAGTAATTTTACTTTTTTAGAAAGATTGCACAGATTATCGTTCATTTGATACTGAGCCTTTAATAGTCATTTCTAAGACATTTATAAAGCATGAATAGTCCTCACTTTAGATTAGGTCACAAAACTGCATGAAGTTGAGTTAATGAAGCATTTACTAACATATTAGTTAACTATTAGTATATGCCTGAATAATAAGACATATAAATGTTGATTTCAATAGATTATTAATCATTTACTAACTCATTCTGAATGGTCTTGAAAACCCTCAACTACTCACAATAACAAACGGTTTGTAAATAATTCGATACTTAATTTAGTAATGAAAAATAAATCATTAAAGGGTCACGAAACACCAAAACACATTTTTTGAGCTGTTGACAGTCGTATATGTGTCCCACACTGCTAAAAACACTATTAGGACACCTATATTTCACTAAAAAGTGTAAATTGGTTGTTTTTGCGTTATTTCAAGCAAATTCGTACTTCCTGTTTGAAACGAATTTTTGAAGCTGCGTCACGGCCATGACATAATAGCGTTGTATTCCAGCGTGCAGACTGGGCGTCTGTGCCAGAGTGAGTCTTATTACATCTTACAGTGTGTTGCATTAATGCATGAGTAAGGCTTGGTTTAAACCAATCAGCGCGCTCTATTGTGCAACTTCATTAATATTCATTACTGTCAGAGTGTAGATGGCAAAGACGCCACATTGTGTTGGCAAAACAAGTGTGAAGTGTTGCTTTTATAGTTTGCTGCAGTTAAGTTTTGTTTTCATTTTCTCTCTGTGAGAGCGCAGACTCACGCGTGGATTAACAGTGTACGCGACACGCGACAACAATAACTTACGTGTCTAAGGAGGATTATTGTTTAGCTGAGAGCTGTTCTGATCTGCTAACGCTGAGATCCGGGATTCGCTTGTAGTCTCCTCTAAATAAAGACGCGGCTCTAGTTGCTGGTGATTGTCCTGTCTCTACAGATTTGGTAAGTGAGCGACCAGTGCTCTTTGTTTATTCAGTTCGTATTTTATTCGTATCCAACAAACTATTGAGTGTAAACAAGTTAGCACTAACAGTTACAACCAAACTATAACCTCGTGTTGAATTTTGTGACCGGAATAACACACGCGGCTTTCTGACGCTACCTGCCGTGTGCATGTAAGTTTCCGGGAAATGCTGAGTTTTTTTTTTCTCTCATTCGCCGTGCGGTATCAAACATTGCATCAAAAATAAACGCTTGGAGCACCGCCTCGAATCAAATATCACGTTTGTCGGGAGGGACATGAATGAATTCCCTGAATGAAAGAGCCAAACTGCAGTTAAAGTCCACCATTTAATAATTTGGCAAATAATTCGACTACAGATGTCCATGTAAACACAGTCACATTGTCTGCTGTGGGTGTGTGTTTTGACTCTGAAATTCAGCGCGCCCAAATAGACACTCCCACACCAAGCCTCTTTTCTTCCTCCGACACTCCCCCCTAAACAGAGCTGGACACGCCCACTTTTCTGACTTTTTCCAAAGTAGAGGTGTGAAAACACACTGCTGAAACGAGGGGGTTTTATGGCCCTTTAACAGAGTATGAAAATACAATTATTAACCACATTATATAGGTGCTTATAAGTCAAGAATGGAGCATTTGTAGCTGCAGTTATAAACTGCTTACTAATGTTTATTAATGTAGAGTTAATGCTTAACAGATAATGAATTCACTATTTGCTAATGCTTAATAAATTATTTATAGTGTGTAGTTAATATAAAGTGTTACCGAAGTTTCTAATAAGTTTGCTTATAAGACAGCACAGTGGTGCAGAGGGTAGAAGGTAGCTGATTAGAACCTTAGCTGAGTCAGTTGGCATTTCTGAGTTTGCATGCTGTCCCCATGTTTAAGTGGGTTTCCTCCAGGTGCTCCGGGTTTCCCAACAAGTCCAACGACATGCTGTATATGAGAATTGGGTGAGCTAAAATGTCCGTAGTGTGAGTACATGAGAGTATGTGGGTGTTTTCCATTAATTAGTTGCAGCGGGAAGGGCATCCGATGCATAAAACGTATGCTGGATAAATTGATGGTTCATCCCACTGTGGCGACCCCAGATTAATAAAGGGACTAAGTCAAAAAGGAAATTTCTTTCAAATACAAATATAAATATTTCCCCTGCTTCTGCTATTATTTTATAATAAATAATAATTTATTTATTTTAAAAGGAAATCAAGGGGTAGTTGATAAAAAATATTTATTTGCAATATGAATACTGAATGCCATTTTTTAAAATTAATCTTTTATTTAATTTTTTTATTAATTTATAGTTGACACACTTTCACAACACAATTATGGGAAGCCAAAGATAGCTCATCTGTACTTCTATTACTATGGAGATAAATAACTGACATTACCTAAAATGATTGCTAACATAATGCACACATTCCAAAAATTCACTCACACAGGTAAACAGAACATCAATGACAAAATACAACAACGCTCAGCTGTCTTCATAAAATAAAATGAATGAAAGAAGTCCAAAATATGTACAGCTAAGACCATCTATCTATCTATCTATCTATCTATCTATCTATCTATCTATCTATCTATCTATCTATCTATCTATCTATCTATCTATCTATCTATCTATCTATCTATCTATCTATCTATCTATCTAATCATCATATACAGTTCGCTACCATTCACATTTATTTCAGAACATTACTGAACACTCCAGATATTTTTAAATTACTGTATATAATATTTTTTTTGGATTCTTAAGTGCATTCTTAACTGTCAGTAACCCTGCAGGATCATTTTGTGTTTAAATGGCTGAAGATGTTATCTGTAATTGTAGCTCTCATCATCATATTCTAACTCGTCCTCCTGTTCATCTCCTAGTTGCCCATATTTGAACTTGCGATAAACAGTGCCGTCCTGCCCCATGTAGACAATATCCTCATCTTCATCATCTTCATCGTCATCATCTCTACTGCCCTTCTGATCACCGAGGTCCACCAGCTTTGACTCACGGAAATGTCCAGAACTAGAGCTAGCTTGACCACTGTAAGCTGAGGTGGCCGATGATGTGCCTCTATAGAAACTGTCTCGGCCACCATCATGGCCCAATTTTTCATACCCACGTGGGACAGGGGTATCAGGCAAGGCCCGCTTTGAAAGGGAACGCTTTATGAGCATGATTACAGCAATCAATACAAAGACCAGCAGGATGGAGGTGGTGATGAATAGTGGAAGGTTTCCTGTGTAGTCTTCTTCTTCATGGTTACGAAAGGCAAAATTAGTGCTGAGGACACATTCACCTGCAAAAGAGACAAAAATATAAATTTTTTGATGCCTAATACAACCAAAGAGTTGATACATATATTAGTATTTAAATGCTGAGTTGTTTCTACATCAATTTGGCTAATATATGGACAAAACTCATTTGGTATTAATTGGTTCCATTTGGTAATTCCTTTTTAAGTGAAGTTTTTAAACAAATTTCGAGAGGAGCACGTGATATAATTGACTGCAGCTGGCCACCTATCTACACTCATTAGTTAGCCAATCAGATCTATCCTAACTCACTATAAGTAGCCTAGCTAGATATTACTCCCCTATCTTCGTTTTCCGAAGAAGCTAACAACAGATCCGCACTAGCTCCTCCAAAAGTTACTCACGGACAAACCGGATCCTCCACATCTCCCATTATTCTTCAACTACAATACCACACCACCATTACTACCGTCATCAGCAACTACAAAAATGACAAAAACAACAACAGCGACGGCAGCGGAGATCACAACAGCATCAGCGCAGCTACAGACAAGAAAGAAAGCTCCGCGCTCCCTGAAACACCAGCCCCGTCTTAACAACACCCAGCCCAGAATGAAAGTCAGCTCGAGACCGAGGCTCCAATAAGAGGCCGTAGGCCTATCCACTCCAGCCAGATCACAATGCAATCCCCAGCTCCGCTACGTACCTTCTCCAGCATCATCATGCGTCACTCATATCCAACAACGACTGTCACTGAACTCCTCCAAACTCCTAGACGCCGGGACCACAATTCAAAGCCGCTGCATTAAACCCAAAAATCTTACGAATCCACGTCTTCACCACCCCCCCCAGGACATAACACGCTCCTGCCACACCCCCTATCCCCAACAGATAATATACCCGCAATCACTCCGCCTCCCTGGGGCATCAAGGAAAGGATTAAAAACAATATTGGATTTGGATATATTGCAGCAATCATTAATTCTAAACACAAATAAAACTAATCTCCCGGACAATTAAGCAAATCTTGGGACTTCCACCTCACCTCTTCCAGCCTGCAGCTCCCGATTCCAGCTCAAACTCCAGTCCTCCTCTTCCAGCAATCCTAACCACCTACGAGCTACGTACCCCGCCCCTCTACCTTGCGTATCCCTGCTTTTTCCCCTCTCATTTTTACACACTTGCAGCTACTGCGGCGACGCATACACCATCAGCCAAGTGCTAAGTCTAGTGAAAACAGAAATTACTTGTCGACTTTTGTCACGTTTAAGCTTTTACTGAATTACGTTTGCAAACTGACCTAATTTTCTGAATTTCTCATTCCAGGTTTCACCTACTGGATCACAGCCGATCTCGGCGCTCCCTTCCCATAACCTCACTAGCCGTCCACCAACGCTGAACCAGAAATCACAGAGCAATTCCCTGTTAAGCACATTCATACCAGCCCTACTGAAATGGGCATTAGAACGTTTCTAAAAACGTCTAATAACGGCTCTTTCATCTCCTCATAATTCTGCCTTTTTTCAGCATTAACAGCATGATTCTGCCTAGTGAAGATGCTTTAAACTATCACGTTATAAACCAAGCAATCTCTCTAATCTAGATGGATGCAAAGCTCGGTTGCAATCAACATTACACCCGTTACCCGATTTCTGGCATTAATCAGAGGTCACAATTATATTTCGTAGTCCGTTTAACATTCGGATGCAGAAGTAGCCCACACATTTATGCCTTAAACGATCCGCTGGATTCTCGCCAATAACTACGGCGTTTGCATGTAATTGATCTACAAGTTTCCCGTTTCTCTCTCCCTAATATCCTCTAGCTAAATAATGACCGGTTTTCTAATATTTGCATTCTCATCAGGGAAGAACCTCCGGCTTAAGCACTCTATACAATTCTTAAGCATCAATTTGGAGTGACAGAATTCCAAGCATCAATAGGCTACTTGAATAAATCGACAATTAGTCCCCCTTTATATTCTAGAAGAAAAGATCACGCTAAGCACAAACTGCTCTCCATCTTAAAACATCAAACACACATGCGCATTATCCCGCAGGGATGCCTTTTCGTCACTCACCTACTTCATCTCGCACCATCAATCTCCGGAGTAGAAGAGAAATTATCTAAATCCGATCTTGGCCGTAACAAACTCTGCCTGAAGGGCGTCGTGCACCAGAGGCGCCGACGGCACGGTGACGCGGTGCGCTTAAGAAGGGATAGTAGACTAATGCACACCAGACACACGCATTCATACGTTATCAAAAATAAACTAATCAATGTACAAATAGTGCTCCGCGGCGCGACAAAATATAAAGTGTCATGAATTGTGGCTGGGCACTACGGACAGCCGCATTGACTTCCATATTATTTATTCTTTCCTGTGGAAGTCAATGGTTACAGGTTTTCAGCTTTCTTTAAAATGTTGTCTTTAGCGTTTAACACGGGAGTCACCAACCTCTATAAAACTGAGAGCTACTTCTTGGGTACCAATTAAAGTGGAGGGCTACCAGTTTGATAAACCCTTCTCAAATAACAAGTTGCTCAATTTACTTTTAATTATAATTTAAGTTTTTGGTAATAATTAATAACATTCATCCATGTGAAGACACTGATCATGTTAACGATTCTCACAAAGTCACCAACAATGATTTAACAGGGTAGGAAATACCCTGTAATTAATATATCAATGTGCAACACTATTTTTATATATCTTTGCAAATATTACATTTTTAAATTATTAATTCTATATTAGAGAAAGCTTACTAGTAAGTGGCGCTATGGTGAGCTATTTTTAGAACAGGCCTGTGAGCAACACAAGAGAGCCTCGTGGGGTACCATGTTTGGTGACCCCTGGTTTAACAGAAGAAAGAAATTCATAAAGGTTTGTAACCATAAGGTGGCGCTTAAAGCATGCGACCTGCTTATGCTTTCCTTCCTTAAGTGCTGGAATAGAAGCCATTCATCTATTAGCTATCCAATTTCATCCTCAGTATATCCTTTTTACACAGATGCCGCCCCCTCCGTAGGGGATATTATCAGGGCCGCCGACGCGCGCTAACGGGCAATGTCGTGGAGAAATTAATATATAATTTATAAATAATATAAAATATAATAATAGTCGGCCTCCAATATTCTCATGCACTGTTACAACGAAGTTGCCGTTCACTGCACTAATAAAGGGCGTTATCATTATCCTGATTAAGGGGGCTCTTCATTGTTACATTCTGAATTCAGAAAAAAAAAATCCATTTTAACTGTTGTACATGTTCCTAGTTGCATAGGAAATTGCTGACTCTCTTTTTGCTCTATTTTCAGAAACTGGTATCAGAAGCAGAGCCGCAGCTGACCCCATCTCTCCTTTTAAGATGATAATCCCATAACCACAGCATACACAATTTGCATCAACATTCATTTATACATTTTAAGTTACCCCAGAACACCTCATCAGTTTCTCACTGCTCAACACATCCTCATTTCTGTTTTCCCCGCCTATATCAGTATATATATCAGTCTATGCATCCCATACTTGCAAAAACATTCAAGACAACTCCATCAAGAGCTATTTAAGTGGAATTAAATTCTTCCACACACTCATGTACGGCTCCATTTGTGATTCTATTGCTAATTCACAAACCAGCCTTATTAAAGGCATTCAGAATTACCCCCCCATGTACCAGATTGCCCACAGTCCGTGTACGTTTTGTTCATTTGTTTTCTATTTTTAAACGGAATAAAGGAAATGGAGAAAACGGCCGTTTTTTCGTTTTTCTTTTGCTCACAAGAAAATGAAAAAACGAGATTTTGGCTGGATTTTCGTTTTTTGATTTAGGGTAGGAAAACGGATAAACGACTTTAAAATTCATTTTACACATGTAGGCGGTGCTGAAACGCCCACTTTCCTCTAATTGGTCAACCAAATCTGCGCTCGTGACGTCTTCCTCAAAATAAAAGCCTTACACGCAGGCTTTTAATTATTATTATTTAATTATATATTAACTAAGTTTACATATTCTATCATTTGAACCACACACAGTTAGCAGGCTTACATTCACTGTGCATGTATAAATTAAATAAACACATAAATCAGCAGTATTCTTAGACATTTGTCATTAAAATAAGGTCATAGTTCACTGCCAAGCTTCTTGGTGCTGTGCACCTGATGCAGAGCAAAGCACCTGGTTTACATGATTGTTTCAGAGCTATTGTAGGCCTAAATAATAGCCCACTCTGTATAAAATAATAATTTATTATTATTATTATTAGGCCTATTATTATTATTATTATTATTATTTACTTAGTTATTTAATGGTTGTAAGAACACATTGGACCATGCATGGGCCTATAATAAATGGTAGGCTACCATTTGTTTCCATTTGATTTTTTCCTATTTTAATTTAATATATACCTTTAGCCTATTGTAAATATTTATTTGATAATTAATACTTTTTATTACAACGTCAAATTAGGCCTGTCTTATTATTATTATAATTTTTTGTTATTATTTTTTTGTTGTTGTTGTTGTTTTTGTTGTTGTAATTATTGTAGCAGGGACATAGCCACAGGTGTGGCAGAGTGTGCTGGTATATATAGTGTACATATATTTCCATATAGTCCAGGTTCTACCGTTCTAGAGAGTGTGGGGCATTGCTTTACAGTGGTAAAGTGGATTATTTCTTGGCAAATTCATAATGATTCACTTTGTTTAGTAATAAAATTCATAGTTATAAAATAACTACATTTCAAGAATATGTTAACACTTTCAACAATTCAGGATTATTTATTGCATCAAAAGTAATTTCAAAGTAACATTAAATGTACGTATAAACTGCTTAATTTGTGTGTGTAAACACCTAAGATGCAAAAAGCTTATTTAGACCAGAATAGGCCTACTAAATGCAATGTGCAATGTATGTAAACTTATGAACTAAAATGTCTTAAATAACTAAATTTAAGTCTTTTTAAGTTTTTAAATAATTTATGTTTAACTTAAATGATTTAACTTAAACTTTAAACTTCAAATCAACAAACTATGGCAATTAAA